TCCCTTTTAAGGGACATTTAAAAGTGTCTTTTGAAGATAGGTCATAACTCCTTCCTGGAGAGGGTGTGACAGGTGTTCTAAGCTATAGGCGCTGCCACCCTTGTCCTGCCTCCAGCTAATGTTTCTCTGCATGCTTTACAAATTGACAACCAACCTGGTAAAAATACTCTGTCCCCAGCCATACTATTGATTTCACTCCCGTGGCAACTATTTTCTAAATCACGCATTAAGCAATCAGCCAAGGATGCCCACATCATTGTGACACGTTCCGCCATGGGTTCCCATGCTGTCTTTTCTCACCTGCATGGGAGGCTCCTTGAGGGGAAGGCAGAGAAAGCCTGCTCCTTTGTTTAGTTCCAGCAACTAGAATCTTTGAACCTGAATGTAAAAAAGCGTCTGGTTCCAAGAAAATCAAATATGTGTCAGTGACACTACCACTTCCCTACCTTGGGCCTGTGACAATTGGCATCACCAATGGATCAGTGCAGTACTTCCTAAAAACCTGCAGTCAGCCTTATAACCCTCCCCACCCCGGCTCTCCAAGTCATCTCTACCAATCCATCAGTGTGTGGTCATGTGAAAAATCTCACAGGCCACTTTTGATTCGAGTCCAATAGATGAGGAAACAAATCCAAACAGGAACCAGAAAATTAACTTGCCCAGCGACTGGGCAAAAAAACTGAAAACAAACAAACAAACAAACAAAAAACAACTCAGAAAACTCAGAAAAAACTGAGACCAAATGACCCCAAACCCATGATTTCTCATCTCCAGCCTCAGGCACCACATCCCTCTGCTGTCCCACTCAAATTGTCTGAGAAGCATTTATTAATGACAATGCCAGTTTCCTGTAACTCTGGCATCATCTTCCCTCCGTATTTGGGGATCTTAGAGAAAGGAAGAAACCAATGAAATGTCAAGAAGAAAGGCCAAGAGCAATGGTCAAGTAATAAGAATACAGAACTTTTTTTTTTTTTTTTCCCCAAAATGCACAAGAAAGGCCAGGCGTGGTGGCTCATGCCTATAATCCCAGCACATTGGGAGGCCAAAGTGGGAGGACTGCTGGAGCCCAGGAATTTGAGACCAGTCTGGGCAACATAGCAAGATTTCATTTCTGAAAAGAAAAGAAAAAAAAAATGCACAAGAAAGCCCCATGTTCTTTTGAGCACATTTGACACCTTTGATTAGCACACGGAGTTGACAGTTTTCTCTCCGTAATGTTCCATTAAAGCGTGAAGGCTTCACCCTGAGTATTCCTGTTGCCCTATGCTCTAGTGCTGTCACTCAGGAATGTATCAAAACCTATCTTACATCCATTGTTATTTCTCATTCCCGTCAACTCTTAGAGTGAGAAGGCCTGCAAATTTACATCATGGGCAAAGTCCTTATAGCTTTTGCTCTAAAATTACCCATTTTCACACCTAACTGGTGGGGATGGTTTCACACCATCTACATTTTTCTGGGTGGTTTGTTTCTGGATTGATTCTGGGACTGAGTAAAGGAGCCCACCAGTATCCAGAGCATTGGGAGTTAGGGGCATTCAGACGTGAAAGTCACCCAGCAGAGACAGGAATACGTTTTATGAAAACAGTGTTCACCTGAAAAGAAATATAAGTAGAATGCAAGATACAAAAACATGAAAGTAAACGCAAATTAAAACAAAGTAGTACAAAATTAAATACAGCATCATCTACCTTCCATATCTGAGCATCTAACAAAAAGGAATCATCATTGCCTTTGCTGGTGCAGTCATGGAATTGAGGTGACGTTTTAAAAGCCTTTATCTGTTAGGTATACATATTGAAGTGTTACGAGTGAAGTGGGCTTTGCTTTAAAATGCCCCAGCAAAGGGAAAAATTGGAAAGATAGGGAGAATAGATCAAAGAAAAATGACAGAATGATGCTAATTGTCAAAGCTGGGTGATGGGTATACAGGAACTGATTTCACTCTCTCTTCTTCTGTGGATGAAGATTTCTCTAATACAATGTTAACAGGGAGTTTTACTTATTAGTCATGAGTACACACACACACACACACACACACACACTTGCTACAATGACGGGCAGTGAGTGTGGCTGGTGGGAGTTGGTCCCCAGTTTGAGCTGTGCCCACCACAGGATCTCAGCCCTGTGCGGTGACAAGAGAGTGGGTGGGATGGGGTGGGAAGGCCTACCAGGGCCTGAGCAGTCCTCTAGGAGACAGGAAGGTCACCCTAAAGGAAAGAAAGTTAAGCATAAGCCTGATCTAGTCATAAAGCCCCAGCCTTTGGAGGTGTGACTATAACACAGTCATCACCACTTGGACTTTTCTCCTGGCCCAGCCCTCTCTGGATTCATGTCTGGGTCTCACTGGGCAGGGCCAAGAGTAAATAACTCTGGAAAGAGTAATTTCATTAAATCTCTAAGCCCTGGGGCACAGGTTCTGTAGCTCAGTGACCCATCAAACAGGGAGCAACAGAGAGGGCAGACGGGCAGCCACTTCCCTTCTCTGCAGACTGCCGGCCAACCCGGGGGGCTTGAGGCTCTCTGGACTTTAGAAGGTGTGGCACTGCCTCTGCTGTCACAGACCACCTCAGGCCCCAGAGTGGCACTGAGCCAGTTACAGGGTAATATGCAACACAGCAGGGGTTCACCTGCTGTTTTCTGACCACACATCACAGTGAGGGGAAGTAAACCTCAGAGATGTTCTCATAGAAAGAAGTTCAGGAAGAAAAGATGGAACAGAGGTGGTTCATGACTGCAAAAAGAATAGTCCCGTTCTGGACAAATGTATCAGGTCTGCCCACATCTGCCCAGCAGGGCCTGGGGAACCCCAAAAGGCCTAGGCAGGAGCTATGCCAGGCTCCTGGGGAACAGGCTCAAGGGCGACATCCCTTAGGCTTTTCTTGTCTGTCTGAATGGATGGAGACTTGGAGGGGGGTGTGAAATAACCAACGGGACCCCCTTCTCTATGCATGGCAGTGTCAGTGCCCGCCATCATTGCAACTTGTCACCTGACTCAATAGAGGACCTGGCTCTTGGCCTACCAGGTCTTAGAGTGAGAATCAGGAGGAGCGGGAGGAAGGCTCCACCAGAGAGCTGGGAAACTAGGGGTAGAGGCCTGGGGCACAGGACTCCATCACCCCCTTCTGGCTTAATCTCAAGGCCTTTATACCTCAGTTCCACCCAACTTGACTTAGAAGAGAGCAGGGAGGGTGAGGAAAACACAGGAGGCTTCTCAGCCCATGGAGATACCTGGAGATAACAGTGACAAGTATCAAATGAGTGGTAACCCCCAACTGGCTCAGTGTCCAGGTTCTCTCAAATGATACCCAGTGTGTAAGTGTTGCTGGAGTACCAGTACTTTCTAGTGTTTGGGCAGGTCACCAGAGGTCTATCTGTAGGAGGGACAGAATGTGAAGCTTGGGGCAAGTGCATTCTAGAAAGGGGGTTCGGGCAATTCTGAGAATGGCATGGTGGAGTTACTAAGTTATCCTCTTCTTCCTCCCTATGTGTTCATATCTGAGTCCTTTGTGGATGGGAGGTAATTTAAAAGTGAAAGTACTTCTTTATGGAAACCCTAGTAGACCCTGGACTCCAGAAGCACTGCTTTGGGGTGGACACACTCACACCCTTCCACCTCCAGCCCCAACAAAGCATGACACAGAGTGGGAGAGGCATTTTCTCCTGTGTCATCATGGACCAGCAAGTGGCTTAGGCACCTTAAGAGTCCAAGCGCATCAAGGATAACAGTAGCAAGGGGGGCTGGTGGGGCTGCGGCAGCAGTGGTACCCAGTGGGACAGGCAGTGTCACCTCCAGTGGGTTTGGAGGGAAAGGCCTGGAGGAGAACAGCAAGGTACCAGGGACACAGTGTGGTTGGCTACAGAATTTATGAATAGATAAGAAACCTGCCCCTCCCACTGGAACCTCCCTGAAATAACTATGGAGACACAGCAGGAGGTTAGTGCAGTAACAGAAGGGAGCAGAAGTTAGTGAAACACACTCCATGCTAACCAGGGAGTCGTGGGACTGGCGCACTCACACACTGCTGGAAAAATCAGCACCATTCACTCGGAAAGCTATCTGGCAGTTTGTACCAAGGGTCATAAATCTGTATTTATTCCTGTTTCCGGAGATGCATTCTGAGGAAAGAATCCAAAAGGAGCAAAAAGCTTGTAGGCATGAATACGTAACATCATACCTTAAGAAACTAGAGGCACCATAAATATCCAGTGGAGAATGTTTCCTTAAATCACACATGTTCACTTCAATGGGACAGCATGACATTTTAAGAGAAGAGATTTCAACACTTTCAAGCAACATGGAACAATGCACAGTCCCAACATTTGAGCTTAAAAAGCAGGAATCCACATTGTTTCCTCACCAGGACTAATTGTATAAAAATATTAACACACATGGAGAAAGAGCAAAAGCAACATGCAAATCAAACAGAGGTTTCTCCCCTGCAGTGCTGTGACCACCGGTGGTTTGCCTCATACATGTCCCAAGCTCTCCACTATTTTGATTTGGGATCTTTAAAATATATATATATATATATATATACACACACACACACAGTGATTTTTTTTTTACTACAAGTATTAAAATGTAAACCAAAAATAACTAAACAAAGGTCACCAGGCAGAAGCAGATGGGGGTTCAGAAATCTGGGTTCTACTTCAGGTGGACTATTATGAGAGTGGGGAAAACATGGCTGGCCCCGGGCTCTGGGGTCCTGCAGGCCCTGTTTCACACACTTGCCCACAGGAATTGTTTGAACAGCAGAAGAGAGACAGGGAGGGGAGGCCCCTGAGGGGGCCAGGAGCAGCCCCCACTTGGGCCTGCAGTTAAGGCCTTCCAGTGAGCGCCACCTCGCCCCTGAGGAGGAGCAGAGAGGCCTCTGGGATAGGCGTGTGCTTGGTGGGCAGGAGGCCAGGGACGGAGCTCTTGAGGTTCCACACAGCAGCAGGCCCGCTCCCTTCCCACCCACCATCCACACACCCACGGCAGCTGCACTCACCGCTCAGCAGGGACGTGCTGTTCTCCAAGGCCTGGCACGCGGCCAACACAATACCTGTTGGGTGGAGAAGAAGAGGGAAAAGGTCAGAGTCTGCTTGGCAAACGATGTCCTTAGACGCTTAGAGGGCAGACCCTTTGACAGGCAAATGCTTGGTGGTTTTACAGAGTGGCTGGTAGACAGGCTAGGCTACATAATTTGTGGATATCAGTGCAAAATGAGCACATGGAGCCCCTTGTTGAAAAAGCAGGAAGAAAGTGCCCATGAAAAGCACTGAAATCGAGAGCCTTCCACTTCTTCCCAGTATCTCCATCTGTCAGGGTGGTTTTGGCTTTTGTTTTTTCTTAACGCCATATATATATACATATTTTTTTTTATGGTGGGAAAATACACATAACATAAAATTTACCATTTTAACCATTTTAATTGTACATTTCAGTGACATTAAGTACCTTCACCCTGTTGTTCATGTCATGTTTGTTTGCTATTTACGTCATTGTTGTCCTTTGGGTATGAGGATACCCACAGGTTGAGTGCAGCCCCTCACAGGTGCACCCCAGGGACAGAGTGTGTAAGGGAGCAAAGGATCCACTGCCTCTGGGGTTTCCTTCCAGCTGGCAGCCGGACCAATGTGCTGTGACCCAGCTGGGGGTTGAGGGGTCTAGTCAGGTATCTCTTTTTTCCAGGAACTTGCTGTCCCAACCCAAGATGGATGGGTGATCCCTTAAGGATATTGCCTCCTCCCTGTCAGGATGTACTAGGTACCTGGATTGGGGGAGTCAAGCAGCTCACCTCTCTCTAGTTGCCCACTGAGGATGCCATGGAGCTGCCAGTCCAGAATGGGGACAGCTGCCACCATGCCGGACCCTGAGATGCCATGCACTTACCCCCAACCCTTTTTGTGTCCAGGCCCCGCCAGGGACAGAGCATGGCAAGGAGCAAGAAAACCTAGAGGAGGCAGGGAGATAGTAATAGGCAGGACCATGGGAACCAAGGCTCTAAGCCCCCAGTGCATACTGTATTGTCCCACTGGACTTCACCTACAAGACACAAATTCAAAGATAAAACTACAAGATTTTTAAGACTGCAACTACAGAGTGTTAAACCTCAAGCTTAGGGCCCTTGTGAGCATGGGGTCCTGTGGGACCTACACAGGTTGCATGCCCATAAAGCCTGCCTTGCCAATAGATGACCTTTATGTGCCTTCAGATTACAGTACTTGAGGTTTCTGGAAACAGCAGCAACCTTCCAATGAAGAAGGAACTCTTCTGAGTTATGCAACCAGCATGAGCCACATTAGAATGACTTCCCAAAACTGAAATGCAAAAAAATACCACGGTTGCCATGCTGAGGGGCTGGGCCTCTGACAGGTTAGCCCAGAAGGCAGATGAATCAAGTCAGCACAGGAAACAAGCAAAGTTCTGTCTGTTACAGGATCGATGCGGCCCCCTACTCTGCAGGCTGTGAGGGTTTCTTGCCCCTTTTCACTTAGGGTGTAGACACAGAAGTCCTGACTCTCAAAGAAAAAAAAAAGCACTTGGAACAGATAAAGCAATCATGCTCCCAGTGTTCTTTCAACCTCTGAAATGAGAAACATAAGAACTTCAGGCTGCTTTTACTGGAGGTCTGGCATGGACCTCCCAAAGACTTTTACAGAATCCTAAGCCAGATGTTTGGGTTGGAGTTGGAGGCAGGGCAGGGGGACAGGGAGAGAAAATCAGTAAAATCATGCATGTCTTCCCTGTGCAATTCTTTCTTGCTCTCCAATAGATGCTAATTTTGGAAGCAAGGCTCCCAGGGCCCCTCTGTCACCCACACGCCAGTGTTAAAACAAGGCATCCCCATCCAAGCCGGGAAAAGTCAGCGGTTGCCCACTTGAAGCTGGGGAACAGTCACATTCTGACTTCGCTGGCACTGCCACAAACCACCCTTGGCTAAAGTCAGCCAGTGACCCATAATAGCGTCCAAGGATGACACTAGGGATGCTTTGCATACTCTGAGGGGAAGCGTGACTTGCCTGTCACAAACTGCCCCTGAACTAATGAATTATTTTCACGCCCTGTTCCTGCTCCATATCCTGTCGGTCAGGGCGAACCCAGTCAGCATGGTTCCTGGGCTCCATGTTAGCGTCTGCTTAAGCAAAACCCAGACAAGAAAGCAAACACTGTGCAGCTGAATCCAGGACAAGGCACTGATGAGCACCACTGCTCCAGGAAGATGAGGGTGTGCGATGGGGGTCTGCTCCCCAGCCTTGGGGCAACTTACTTCACCTTCTGTTCCTCACTTGTGAGCTCGCAGCTGCCAAACTCACAGAGGTGTTTTGGGAATGAATTGAAGTTTGCAAAACCACGATGTTCCACAGATGAAAGACACTGGCTTTTTATTCATAATTTGAGCAACACAAGAAGAATAGGTCCTTTCTATACCCTCACGCTCCCATGGAAAACGACTTCTTGGTGCCCTGAGCTTCACTCTGCAATCTTGATCCATGCCCGGCATCAGCTGAGGCCCTGTGATGAGCGGCAAGGCCTCTGCTTCGTCTTCATTACATGGTGAGCCTAAGAGGACCCTGGAGCAGGAGGACAGGGCTCAGGTCTCACACTGTGCAGGTGGATATGCACTGGACCTAGTCCCAGGCCCACTGCTAAGGTTCTGCATGTGTTCTCTTACTTAGTCCTCATAACAACTCATGACATAGGTGCCTCCCAACCTTCTGGTCCAGCTGGTAGAAATGCCCAATCATAGAGATGAAGAAACTGAAGCTTGGAGAGGTTGAGAAATTTGCCCAAGTTCCTGCAGCCACATTCAAACTTAAGTGTGTCCAACTCCCATGCACAAGCCAGTGTCTAATTACCAGACCACACCACAGTCCTTCTGACCATAGCCAATTGTGACACAGGTGTGTATTCAGCAGTCACAACCCCAGGTGAGTCCAAACAACAGACTCTGCAGGCCCAGTGGCTGAGCCTTGATCTCTCTCTCCCTGAGAGCCACGCATTGCCTCTTGGGGATTCTCCCACTGCCTCCAATCTCCCTGCCATGAACAAGGTCTACTGAGGGGCAAAGGTATGAGCATCCAGGCTCACCAGCTGCCCAGCCCTCTGGCCACACGACTGTGCTTAGAAAGCCAGGCTGTGTGGGGGCCTTCCAGAAACACATGACCTTGGCAGGCTCCAAGGGTCATCCCAAACAAAGGAAGGATGGGGAGAGGACAGCCACAGGGACCGCGGCAACATGCAGTGGCTCAGGGAGACACGCAGTGCACAGGCCTGGTGGCCCACAGCCACAGGCTCCTCCTGCCTAAGTTTCAAAGCTGGCCCTTGCCTGCCACAGGCCCTCGGGACAGGAAGGCTTCTAGGAATCCCTTCTAGGCCACTCCTGCTGGCATCCTATTTCTGTTTAAATAGCTCCAAAGAGGGGAATCCCAAGACTGCGGACTTCAAAAAGAAAAAAGAAAAGAAGCGGGTGGTGTCAAGGGGAAAACCACATGCAACGGAAGAAAATCCTTATGAAAGACTGATCCCGTGCCCCCCAAAATAGAGTGGGAACCTGGTCTGCCCTTAGGAAGGACAAGTGTTGCTATGCTTGTAGTTCAGCTGTTTGGTACTCAGGTAAATATTCCCAACAGAAACAAGGTAAAAAGGAGCCTCACCTATTTAGCTCATGAGTCCCCAGAAGGGAAGCCATCCCGAAACCTATGTGCTGATGTGTCAATGGGAAATGCTCTTGAGAAAGGCTGGACACCCCTCTCCCCTGGGCCCCAGAGCAGGACACCCCTACTCCAACCCCTCACTCAGGCACGGGACTAGCAATTCTGCACAGATACCCAGGCTGTGCCTTTAGCGTCCAACACCCTTCATTCTCAACCACCCATTGGCCTGGTGACCACCTCTTCTGTGGACACTCAGCCACAGTGCCTGGAGCTGGGAGGAGTATCCTCCGGCCCCTGGCCACCTCAGCAGAGTGGACCACGTCCTGCTCTGGCCTCTGCTGGGGCTGGTGTTTGCTTTCAGGCCCCTACCTACTCCACGGCATGGAGCAGTTGCTCCCTCTAGAATATCAAGAGCTCTACCTTTCACCTGCTTGGGATCCTCTCAGCCAGACTTCCTGCATGAAGGGGCGAAGGGTGAGTTTTTGTTTTCGGGGGGATGTGGGAGGATGAAGAGGCTGCAGCAGGTCCTTTTGGATGAAGGATGCTCTGGATTCAGAAGAGGTGGTGAGGAAAGGTCTTTGGATGAAGAACACACTCAGGGCAGGAGGATAGGAATTGTGCTAGAGGGCAGGGCAGAAGGGAGTGTAGGTATTCAGAGGGCGGCAGGTTTTCCCCTTCCTCCCCTACCATTCTTAGACCTGGCAGGTCCTAAGGAACAGGAAGTAGTCAGTGGTACATAGATGGTGGGAATCCCGCTGCTCAGGGAGAGGTCTGCAGAGGCTCCCATGTGGGCACAAACTTATAAAGAAATGGGCCACAAAGAACCCAGGGCCAGTCAGTACAGGTTCATGGCATCTTCCTGTGTGAATTAGATCTCAACATTTAAATTTTATTTGCAAGGATGACAGGATTTTAACTGCATAGCAAAAATCACTAAATTGTATGATTTCATCAATATTTTTAAATCCAAGAGGTTGACAGCCAGGTAAGGATGCTGGCTTCAGGGTAAGAACTGATTAAGAAGGAAAAAGGGAAGGCCTTGCAGAGGAGGACTACGAGCAAGGCTGGTAGGATGAGCGTATCATGGACTATCCACAAACTGATTAGGATATTAAGGCCAAAAGCAGCCACGTGGCATCTCCATTGGACAGCAGCAAGTTCCAACTTGATAAATCTGGGGAAATACTTCATGACTATGATATCACAGGAAATGATCCAGCATTACCTGAAAGCTCATAGGAATTTTCCATATCCATCTAAACATATCTGATAATAGCAAAAAACAAAGTATTCAGAATGAACCTTCAGGATCAGGGAGGCAAGAGACATGGGCAAACGGCTGCCTGCACCACAACCCCCTACCACTTTCTAGCCTGTCACAGCACAGCAGAAAGGGGCTTTGCCATCAGGCCTGGGTGCAAATCCTGGCTCTGCCACTCCTTCACTGTGAGACCTTGTCTGTATTATGTACCCTCGCTGAGGTTTGGTGTGCTCATCCATAAAACAAGGATAACAGCTCTTCATGGGACTTGCAAGGATTAAGTGAAACAAAATGAAATAGAGCACATGAGGTCCAGAAGTCACGTGAGCACCCACTGAACACAGCAGTTGATGGCGCTTCATGTTGCTCCTGTTTCATCATAACTTCCAGGAAGTTCAGGATGACGAGGAGGTGGTCATGACCCTCCTCCCTTTGGAAGTCACTAAGGCAACTTCAACAAAGGGTTTTATTTGAGGCCCCGGGGTCACTTAGCTGCAGGCTACTGATGTTCCATGGACTGATCTTGAAATAGCATGCCCTTTATGCCTTTTGAGGGTTTAAATAGTCAACATGGTGAAACCTGGACTCTACTAAAAATACAAAAATCAGCCGGGTGTGGTGGTGGTGGGTATCTGTAATCTCAGCTACTTGGGAGGCAGAGGCAGGAGAATTGTTTGAACCTGGGAAGCAGAGGTTGCAGTGAGCCAAGATTGCACCACTGCACTCCAGCCTGGGTGACAGAGCGAGACTCCCACTCAAAAAAAAAAAAAAATTGTTATTTACTTATGTTAACTAATCAAATATTTATTGAGCACCTACCTACTGTGAGCAAATTAAGTAAAAAAAAGAGAAATCTGAGACCTGTGACTTTCCCTTAAAATGTCCAAGTCACATGGGACAGCAACTACCAGAGAAAATGGAATCTTCCACACTTCAACAAAGGCAGACAAGTGTAGGCTGTTGAAGTTATCACTACAGCCCACCGAGGCACTGGACTGACCCTATATTCCCATAGATGCTTCCCCTGCTTCCATGCCCAAACACTATCTCCAACCTCCAGCACTCTTCCCAAGGCCTGTACCCCAGATCATGTGTTCAAAATTAAACTCATGTCCTCCACCTCTTACTTGGTTCTGGGTGGGACTGATAACTAGGCAGTCATTGTCAGTACCTCCCTCTCCTTCACCAGTATCCAGGCCAAGCCCTCCTACACA